CGCTGAAAATTAAAAATTAGTGACTTTTTTAATAATATTTGATAAAAAATACCATTAATTCTCATAGGATCTATTGGACAATAAGTCTACATATTAAGACCTACACATAAGCCCTCCTAAAATAAATTTTTGATATCATTAAAAACTATTAATGGACTTGATGATTTATTAATAAAATTGACTATTTGTTATGAAATTAAAATTTTCCAAAGATAAGATGTAATTTCTAAAATTATAAAAAATGATATGTATTTTAAGCAAAAACCTCATACCGTGTATTTGTAATTTACCCAAGCAAAAATTACGGGTAAATTAGGCCGATCTCCTTGAAATTTGAAAAAGATAAATTACACTTTTTAGTTTTAAGTTTTTAAAAATAGTTTTAAATTTTTTAATTCATATTTTTATTTTAAATAATTGTTTTTGTACATGTTTTAATTTTTTTTATTAATTTTTAAATTTACTTAATCAAAATACACTTAAAAAGTAGGTAAAAAATATATTGAATTATTATTATTATTTTTTTTAATATTTAGTGATTTTTTAAAAAGAATCACATATTTTTTACTTTTTAAATGGCTCTAAAAAGTGAAAAAAAAGAGAGACATTTATTCATAAATTTCTTTTCATCTATTTATATTCTACTTCGTCTAAATTATTTTGTTATTTCTAATAAGTCTATTGAGTGATATAGTTACTAAAATGCCCCTAATAATAATAGGTAAAGTGCATATTAATATTCACATTAATAGTGGTGGCGAGTGGGTGGTGGTGACATGTGGGTGGCAGATGACGGATGGCGAGTGGTGGTAGTGGGTGGTGGCGGGCGGGTGGTGGGTGGTGATGGTGAGTTCAATGTGTGCCATTGATTGTGAAAAGGAGAAGCTTAGTCAAGAGATTTTGTTCTGTCTGTTTTTCCCACAGACGGCGCCAATTGTACGGGGAAGAAATAATTCTCCTCATATAATCCTGTTGACTAAGTCCACGCTCCTCCGTACGACGTCGCTTTGTCACCTGAAAACACAAACGTGAGCTAGCCGGCGGGTGTGTGCCGGAAACCTCTCCGATGCCTAAGTCAGAAAACTTGACAAATAGACAAAGCTCAATTTGTTGTATCCTGAAAGAAATGAATTAAAGTTCATACATTCAATTGAAGTTGACATGGTGTTTTGGATGGTGTGCATCTCATATAGGTACCAAATGCAATTGGATCTCTTCTCGGAGCAACTCAGCTGGTGCTATACGCGATTTACAGTAGATCTAATCCATCCAAAAATGTATCTGAGGTGGGTGGTGGTGGCGGAAGACGATGGTGGAAAATGGTGGCTGGTGGTGGCTAGTGTTGGGTAGTAAAAAAAAAAAAACTCAAAACTCAAAATAAAAACACATTTTTTGTGTTTTCAGTTTTTGGCCAAATTTATAAACTGAGACCACTGATTTATAAATCAAAAATTTTACCAAACAAGTTTTTATTTGAGTTTTTAAAATTTTTGTAAATATAAATAAAAAATTGAAAACGTAAGTGTTACCAAACAACACCTAAGGGTTCAAAAAATATTTGTAAAGATAAAATTGTTCATAAAATATCTTAAGATTTGACAGATCAAATGTCTAAAATAATAGAAGTTATTAGAATATAAGAATATTTTATAGACTATTTATAGACTAATTGGGATACAATTGTTTGAAAAAAATAAAACAATTGAGATATGAAAAAAAAAGAAAAAAAACCAAAAATTATATATTATATTTGTTGTTCAAATATGTGAATTAACTAATACAAATAGATCCATTATTTATTAAATTAAATAATATAACATCAAATAAATTCATATTTGATAAATTACATCCTAGAGCATGAAATATGAAACATGATTAATAGAAATACATATTTAATCGAAATATTGAAAACAAGGAATCAAACTAAATTCTGTGTGATACAACAGTGTCCTTAAAACAGATTAGCTGCTTCATCATGGGTGCTGGACGAATGTCGACTTCTGTCTCCCAAGATAAGATGGTTTAGACCGGCTAATGCAAAAGTACCTTCTGTTAGCTTTGGCGAACTGACAATGACAGTACTTTCTTACACAGAAAGAATATATTATAGGAGAAGCAAATTGACTGATATATTCTGGAAGTAAAAATTCTGTAACAAACCAAGGAAGATGGGCCTCTTTTTATACACAATAGGGGAGAAAGGAGACATGAATGCTAGCAGCCAATACCCATGAAGGTTGGCAACCAATGCTCATTACTCTTGCAAAACTGCTGAGTAATGGAGCAAAACTGATGGGACAATAATATGAAATATATATTATGTATACACAAGTGTGTATATTTGTGATAGACTTGGCCCAAAAAGTTTAGGTTGGTGGACCATCAATCCGACCTAGCCCAAACCTAACCCATTCCAGCAAACCTCAAGCCTAAACCCAAGATCCAAGACCCATGACCCACGGACTAGGATCCGGACTCGGCCTGGGCGGGCAACGCGCGTGGGGTAATTTTGCCATAATCAACTTGGACCATAGTCTTGGCCCAAGCTCATCCTTGAAGGATCCATAACTCCCTTTCTTTGGAAAATTTGAATGCCCCAAAGGGCTCATGTCCTTCTCATAATCTTGAAATTTAAATACCAATCAAAATTTTCCTCTACAATTAATGTGGGATTGGTAGCTATACATAATTCTCAATACCTCATTTATGAGGCCAACTTTATGAGACAATTTCTCATTCAATTCTTAATGGTTTTTTGTCATTCTTTTTGTGGTGTAAAGACCTTGTTACAAAGAATCTAAACCCATTTAATCCCAGCTCAACCAATGATTAGGACCTACTTTAATTTCATATTAAAGTCACCAAAAAATCATTTTTTGGTATCATACAAAATTTGGTTTGATTCCTTGTTTTCAATATTTCGATTAAATATGCATTTCTATTAATCATGCTTCATGTTTCATGCTTTAGAATGTAATTTATTAAATATGGATTTATTTGATATTCTATTATTTAATTTAATAAATCATGAATTTATTTGTATTAGTTAATTCACATATTTGAACAACAATCTCATCCGTAGGTGTTAGAGGAACGTCAACTTCTGTTTCCCAGAATAAGATGGTTTAGATCGGTTAAAGCAGAATCACCTTCTGTTAGCTTTGGCGAACTGACAATGGCAACACTCTTTTACACAGGAAGACTATATTATAGGAGAAGCAAACTGACTGATATATTCTGGAAGCAAAAATTCTATAACAAACTAAAGAAGATAGGTCTTGTTAGGTCCCTTTATTGTCAAATAAGGGTACAAAACTTTGTGTTGAAAAAGTTGTAATTTTTCCTGTGTTTTTGTTCTTCCCGCTCGAGCGGGACCATTAGCGCTCGAGCGGAGATTGGGTTCTCTCAGTATTTAGTCAGGTCTGTAAAAATACTGAAGTGTGTGATTTCGTGCTCGAGCGGGCTCTCAAGTGCTCGAGTGAACCTCTGTTTTGTCACACGCATATGTACTGAAGTCGCTCGAGCGGGCTGTTGGGCGCTCGAGCGAAGATCGCAAACAAGTTTTGCCTATATATATCTGTTTGGGATGTGTTTAGGTTTTACTTTTTCTATATCTTATTCAAGAGTCCTAGGGTTTTGTTTGAAGTTTTCTTCTGAGTTTTTTTTTGAGTTTTCCTTGATGTTTTTGAGAGAGTTCTAAACTTATGATTTGAGATTCATACATCAAGGAGTTTGTTACTTTAAATTCAAGAGAGTTCTCTTCGGTGGATTCCAAAGATTCAAACGTAGAGTTTCAAAAGGCGTTTGATTCTGTACGTAGTCGTTAATTCGACAAGTGAAGTTATGGATTCAACTTCAAGATTGATCAGTTCCGAGATGAATGCGTGGTGAAAGAGTTACAGAAGATTCGAAGACAAATTGACTGAGTTGGGTAATTTGTGTATTATCTTTGTAATCTTTCTTTCTTCAGTAGTGGATTGATTAGTGGCGTTTCGCTCGTGGTTTTTGATTACAATTGAAGGTTCTTCAATTGTGGTTTTTCCACGAAAAAATCGTTTGTGTCGATTTATTGTTTATTCCGAAAAACAAACAATCTAAATCACTTTCGTAAGTGTTTGTTGATTTAGATTTTGTGTTTTGGATAATTGGGATTTGGAATATTTTAATCTTGATCTAATCATGAATCACTTAGGATTTTCAATTGGTATAAGAGCAGGTCACTCTTTGTTTTTATCAAAACTATAGGAGTGTGATTTTGTGTGACTAGTATTATGGATTCTATTCGTGAAGGTAACTCGACTCATAGACCTCCTTTACTCGATGGTACAAACTATTCTTATTGGAAAGCTCGTATGAGAGCGTTTTTAAAATCCATCGATGAGAAAGTTTGGCACTAAGTAATCTATGGGTGGAGTGGACCTATTGTCACCATTGATGGTGTTGATATTCCTAAACCCCTTGATAAATGGGACACAACTGATTACCAAAACTCGAGTTGGAACAGTAAGGCTTTCAATTCCCTGTTTTGCTCCGTCACACCTGAAGAATTTCGTCGAATCTGCACGTGTGAGGTAGCAAAAGAGGCTTGGGACATTCTTGAAACGATTCACGAAGGTACTACTTCTGTCAAAAGGTCAAAACTTCAACGTCTCACCTCCGCGTTTGAAACCCTTTTTATGCGCAATGATGAGACGTTTGATGATTTCTATACAAAACTTAGTGATATCGTGAATTCCTGTTTCATACTTGATGAAAAAATCCCAGAAGCTAAAGTTGTTTGAAAAATTTTGAGGTCCCTTCCTGAGAGGTTCCAATCAAAAGTGACAGCCGTTGAGGAGGCTCAGAATGTTGATACCCTCAAGCTTGATCAATTGGTTGGAAACTTGCAGACTTATGAAGCCCACCAGATTTCAAAGAAAAAACAAAAAGAAAGTGTGGCTTTCACTAGTGCTCATGAGTCAGCAAAAACTCCGGAGGCTGAATTTGATTTAGAGTCTGAGATGACGGCTATGTTTAGATCCTCCAATCTTTCGAGTTTGCCAATACCCACTGGAATTTCTCCTGTGATTGAGTTCATGGAGATTACCAACCATGTCAAGCCAATTAAATTCTTTATTCCTTCAGGGATGGATCCTGATATCTGGTTTGCTCCTGCAATCAGCTGTTGAAGAGTAGTTGAAAAATTAGCAATCAAAGTTGGTAATTCACCTTTGAACCTGTTAAGGCCTATGTCCAGTTCCTGGAGGTTGCTGCAGTTAGTTAAAGAAGTTAAGAAGCTAAATCTTGCTGCAGTTAGGCCAGAAAAATTAGCCAATAGAACAGAGCATCTACATGTTCCTAATGTTGAAATAATTTTACCATTCTATGCAGTCGAGGCTGATATAGTCAGGATTACAGGCATGTTCAGTCATCTTATCTTAGACATAGTAATCTTATAATCATGAACATGACATAATAGCAAGCTTGAATAAAGGCATATACATTCCATGATGCTTTAAACTTGAGAGTTCTTAAAATCTACAGCAACCTATATAGCAGCAGCAGCAGCAGCAGCAACCTATATACATTATATGACACATAGTTCACATATGCTATTTAAAGAGAGTTCTTAAAATCTGCTCTGTATATACAGCAACAGCAACCTATTTAGCAGCAGCCTATAATAGTGTTTCATTTTGTGTTTATAATATAGGTCCATCTGTAAAGCGAGTACGAGGTCCAATTAGGGGTAAGAACAGTAGTAGACTCATCAGCCAACATGGTGGGAAGAAGCTTTTTGTTGGAGTTTCTATTGAGAGGAGGACATTTGTGGGGCTTAATGCCACCAAGGCCGCTAACGAATTGGGGGCACAAATTCGATTGCAAGCCCCATTGCAAGGAACAAAAAATTGGGAGGACGTTCCACCAGTCATTCGAGCAGCTATTGTACAATCCTTGCGGGTAATTTAATTTTTATAGTTGTTGAGATTGAAGTAATTAATATATAAGATGTTTAATTTTCATTTTATGTTTAATTGGGACAGGATAAGTTTGAGATTGAAGGATATGATGAGAGTCCACTTCCACAAGAAATCATTGACACAAAGGCCACACATTTGTTCAAAGGCTGGCGTTATCATATGCATGAACATTACAAAGAGTTGGTGAAAGAAGGTACAGATCCTTATAGTAAACCATTTGTTGGGGTGAGGGAAGAAGATTGGCGATACATGATTGATGAAGTGTTTCTTGGTGACACACACAAGGTAATTAACTTAACAGTCATGGATGTTTCTTTTAATTGCACTACAATGAACCATGCTTGGATATTGATTTTTAAGTTAATATTTCTATTGCATTGTAGAAACGGTCAACAAGAAATATAGCCAACAGGAAAAAGTTACCCTATAATCACACCATGGGTTCAAGGTCATTTTCAGCAGCAATCTCAATTGAGGTAACATATTTTTTGTTTTAAAACTTATAGTTAATGCTGCAATTTTTTTATTAACAATATTACTAAGCTTGCATTTTATATGTTTCATGTAGGGAATTGAAACTGGAAAGGAGCCTCACATTGTAGATTTTTTCAAGACCTCACATTGGAGTAAAAAAAAAAAGATTGGATTGAACCAGTTTGTGCGGAGTTATATGTAAGTATACCTTCATTATATTTGTTATTCATATTCCTATATAATGCTTAACTAGTTAGTGTACTTGTAAAATAGGATAACTGTTGATCTGTTTTTTTTTTCTTTTCTTTTTTTTAACACTAACAGGAAAAGATGGACCAACTTCGTGAGGAAGCTTCACAGCCTGGAGCAACCCTGCTAACACAAGAGGAAATTACTGTTCAAGTCCTTGGGAAGCGTTCAGGGTATTTGAGAGGTTTCGGGGTTGGTCCAAAGCCGTCTTCTGCATTCAATTCTACAACTAGGTCACAAGCGCGTGATGAAGAGGTTAAGGGCCTTAAAGAAGAGGTAACATCACTGAAAGGGATAATTCAATCATATGAAGGACGCTTTGAGCAGTTTGAACACTTTATGAGACAAATGCAGGGCAATGGTAGTGGATACGACTCTTTTGATGAGTAAGTACTATTGCTTTTGATGGTTTGTGAATACTTCTGGGATTTGCTTCAATTTATCAGCTCATAGATTTGATTTTGACGGTTGATCTATGACTGTCGTGTTGGCATCCATTCATATGATGGTCTAATATTGATTTGGTTGGTTTCATAGGTTGATTTCATTCGGATTTAGGTACATAGTTGGATGGTTGGGGGACATAGGTTGAGGTGCCTTATTTTCAGTACATGACTTGGTATTAAATTATTGGATTTAGGTACATAGTTACATTTCTATGACTGTCTTGTTAGCTTGTTTGGTTCAAGAGGCTTTATCTTGTTAAAGGCTACTTTATGTAAAGGTAAAGTTAAGAGGTACTATGTGTATAAAGGAGTAGGTGGTGTTTGCAGATGATGGTGTGTTTTTCTAATATTAGTTAATTGGTTTGTGTTGCTTTGGATTGCTGGTTGTTTGTTTTTTTTTTCTCTGTTGGTTTCTCACCAACTATTGAAGCTTGTGTTGGGGAAAGACATGGCTGAGAATCCTGAATGTCCACACACAAATAAATAAATGCATTGTATCTCTCTTGAAAATTTGAGAAATTATAATTTACTCTCAATGTTTGGCAAAATTAACCATGTTTCCATAATATTTTGATTCACATTACAGTTGTCCCCACATTGTTGACTTAACAGAATATTCTACTTACAATCTATACATGGGTAATAATTCTATTTACATACTACAAAAAATCTCAATACAGATTGGCTGAGAGTGAATTTTGCACTGTCATGTACCTATTTATATACCTCTTTATATAGTTAGGGATTGAACTAGTGATGGAGGAGATAATACACGAATCGCAAGGATGGTAATAATGTGGTGGTGTTGTGGTTTTTTATTTTTTATTTTTTTTTATATAGAAATGTAAACAAATATATTATTATTAACAACACTTTCTTCAATTTTTTTTTTTTATTGCAGGTAGCTAGCTAGAGGCATAGTCATGCATGTTTATGGATCTGAGTTTGCTGATGCATTAATTCTAAGTTGTGCATATATATGTGGAGTTTTTGAGATACTTTGCATCGGACAAATATGGCATGCATTTGAAATCTTTGATGTTTTGTTAAATATTTTTTGATGTGGTGAATTTATTGTAAGGATGGATGGTTATTTTGGGCGTGTAATGTGTTGATATTGACAGGTGGTTGTAAATATATTAATTACTATTTTAACTTTATAATTGATGGTTTTTTTGATGTGGTGAATTTATTGTAAGGATGGATGGTTATTTTGGGCGTGTAATGTGTTGATATTGACAGGTGGTTGTAAATATATTAATTACTATTTTGATTTTATAATTGATGGTTTTTTATTTATTTATTTTAGATTGGATTGGTATATTAAAATTGATTGGATGGAAATGAATTATGTATTAATTGCAAATGTATTATAGGTATTACAAAAAGTTTAGCATTATATTTAAAAGAATCAATTTTGAAATTAAAAGTTTTTTTGCGATCAATATGTTTTTAGTCGCAATAAGGTTCTAGGAATTGCTAAACACACCCTTTCTGCGACTAGCATTATTCTGGTCACCAAAAGTCTACTTTCCGCGACCAACATCTTCGTCGCCAATGCTCACTTTCTGCGACTAGCATTATTCTGGTAGCCAAAAGTCTACTTTCTGCGACCAATATTTTCGTCGCAATTGGTCATGAACAAAGCACTAATTATCTTTTAGCAACCAAAATAGATAGGTCGCTAAAAGCTAACTTTTAGCGACCAAATTCTTAGTCGCAATAGGATCAACTTTTGACAAATTCAAGTCCCTTCTGCGACCAAAATATGTTGTCGCAAATGATGGTTTTCCGCGACCAACTTCACTTTTGGTCTCCAAAAACCTTCTGTGACGGACTTTTGGCGACTAAATCGCGACAAACCATTTTTTGGTTGCTAAAAACTATTAACGACCAGATTTGATCTTTCTGCGACCAGAAATGTTGGTCACGAAAAGTGTTTTTTCCTGTAGTGTATGAATGTCAAGGGTTTGGTCATATTGCCCTTGAATGCCTTCGAAAAAGAATCGAAAGAAAGTCTACACTATGACTTGGGATGATGAAAGCGGGTCGGAGCAAGAACCCGAAGAATCTGAATCCGGTGAAGACAGAGATAGTGCTTTCATGGCATTTTGGTCCACTTTCAGTCAATGTCTTCCAAAGCCATCGGAATTAGCTCGTGGTCAGAACCTGCATTATGCTCCCACCTTTGACGGGAATAACTCCTTGTATTGGAAGATCAGAGGGCTTTTCTGAGAGCTGTTGACCCAGAAGGTTGGCAAGCCATTGAAGAATATACAGAAAGTACAGACAATTCGGGCAATCAAAGAGCCCTGATTACTATTCGTGGAGCAATTTCTAATGAAGAACAGCAACGAGTTGCTCACTGCACAAAGGCTAAAGATGCATGGGAAATTCTGAGCTAATTCCATAAAAGAGTATATTCACCTTTACCACCATCCAGCAACTTCCCTGCCTTAGTTGCTAGATTGGATGAGGTCAAGGAGAATGAAGAGCAAAAAGAGGATGATGAAACATCTGAAGACAATGATGAGAACAATGGCGATGAACTACAACAAGCTTACGAAAAGCTGTACGAGGAATCTCTGAATTTGTCCAAAATCAACCACAAACTCTTTCTCAAGCTCAAAACATGCGAGAGTGAGAATGTCAGGCTAAAAAGAAAACTTGTGGCAGCAAAACAGAATGTCATCAAGATCTCAAGTGACATGCAAGACTTATGTGGAAAACTTCTACCTTGTGAACCTAAAATGAATGAGCTTCTGAAAGTGTATTCCACATATAAAGAAAAGCTTGAAAGCCTTGAGATGTCACAAGCTTCATTGGAAGAGATAGTCTGTCAGAAAGATGAAGAACTCCGTATTGCCAGAGCCACAATTGCTATGTGGAACAAAGGTTCCAAATCTCTAGAAGACATCCTCGGGTCTCAACAAATGGGTTGTGACAAAAGTGGGCTAGGCTATGGTGCGACAGCTCACAAGGGACAGGCCTCTACCTTAAATAACCTGAAGACTCAAGCAAAGGGAAAGTTGAAGGTAGACCAGGATGATTCCTCTCTTTATCTACCGAAAGTGGGTAAGATTAACAAAAGGGAGGTAAAACTAGTTTTTATTTGTCATCATTGTGGTAGGTATGGCCACATTCGTCTCTATTGCTTTGAATTGTTTGGTAAGGTGTCTTAAAAGGGTAGAAATTTGAATACTTTTTGGGTTAGGAGACAACCTTGCATGTTTAGGCAGAATACCAAGATTCATGAGGGTGTTCACAACGCCAAGACATTTACCAAGACTAAAAAGATTTGGGTGAGAAAAGATGATTTGACTTGTTTAGTTGTTCACAATGCTCTAAAAGCACGTGACTCACACATGTGGTATCTTGACAGTGGGTGCTCTCGTCATATGTCCGGTAACAAATTCTACTTCACCTCCCTTGAAAAATATGAAGGAGAAATTGTTACCTTTGGAGATGGCGGCACTTCTAGAGTCATTGGTAAGGGCTCTATCAGTGTTGCTGGTCTTCCCAAGCTGGATAATGCTTTACTTGTTGATGGCCTTAAAGCAAATCTTTTGAGCATTAGTCAAATGTGTGATTCCCATCATAAAGTATTGTTTTCAAAAATAAATGTGAAATTTTGGATAAAAAGGGAAATACTGTCTTACATGGGGTTCGCACATCTGATAACTGCTATGGGATTGTTACTACTAATGATCTCACTTGTCACTCTGCCATCATAAGTAACAGTGATTTGTGGCATCAAAGATTATGTCACATAAATTTCAAAGACCTAACTAAGATAGCCAACAAAGAGCTTGTGAGAGGAGTACCTAAACTGGGTAAGAATTTGAGCTATGTGTGTGGACCATGTCAACTTGGAAAGCAAACCCGTGCCCCTCATAAAAAGGTGAACAGCTTTACACCAAACGTCCTCTTGAATTGGTTCACATGGATTTAATGGGTCCTAGTCGCACTGAAAGCATTGGAGGTAAAAGATATATTTTTCTAACTGTTGATGATTTTACTCGATTTTCGTGGGTAAATTTTTTAAGGGAAAAATCTGATACGTTTGATGCTTTCCAGGCTTTAGTCCTTAAAATCCAAAATAAACAGGGTGTTTCCATTGGGCGTATCATAAGAATCCGAACTAATCATGGTCGTGAATTTGAAAATAGTTCGTTTTCGGATTTTTGTGATATGCATGGAATTAAGCATGAATTTTCTGCACCTATTACTCTACAGCAAAATGGAGTGGTTGAGAGGAAGAACAAATTTGTTCAAGAAATGGCTAGGGTCATGCTCCTTAGTAAGAAACTTCCTCCAAATTTTTGGGCTGAAGCCTTAAATACTGCTATTTATGTCATAAATTGCGTGTATTTAAGGCTCGACACTTTACAAACTCCATATGAATTGTGGAAGGGATTGAAACCTAATGTAAAATACTTCAAAACTTTTGGGAGTAAGTGTTACATCTTCAAAGATAGAGAGCCCTTGGGCAAATTTCACTCCCGAA